AGAAGTAAACGAATCGTAGAGAATTTTTCTTTCGTGAAAAATGGAAACTGCTTGCGATGCTTTTACACTCTAGTGCCCCCAGTTGCTCTATAAACCTCTATTGGTTTTATTGTTACATCGCCTTACTTTCATATTAATTTCATAAGTCCACGACTAGCGTACTTGTACGGTCGCTCTTTGTTGTTACGCGCTTCCTTTTCCAGGGTCATGGTCGTAGTGTTAACGTTGTCATCCGTCAGTGTTATTATCGCTTCAAATAATATTTCAATACTACCGTGTCGTTGTCGCTGAATATACGCTTGCTGCACAAGGAAGTGTAGATAATACCATAGGCGCAGGGAAGGTTAATGCTAATAGCGCAAGCCATTTGTACGCTAGCGCGGATGGCGATTTCGCGCCACTATATTGTACCTCATATAGCGGCCTTGTTTTACTCTCATATAGTGGTCCCGCCGCCGTGGTCGTCTAGTTACGCGGCGGCGTCACTTCATTGCATTAGTCCGTGAATTACAATACATGTATAACAAACTCGCCGCGTATCGCATTAACATTCCTATTTGCGTTTGTCTCTGCATGGTGTAGAATCTATATTTGTACACCATATCAAGGAGTAAATGTTTTTTATGCTCTTGTGAATATATATATATATATATATATATTGCTGTTGTGCTGAGGCCTCGTACACAACACAACACACTGCGCTCAGCTCTGACCATTAGTAACTCGTGTATAGGTTGATTTCGGAGATTGGGCGTTTCATCTAAGTAAGATATTGGAATGGCTTTTGTACGAAAAACTACTGCTGAATACGTTCTGTTTTCAATGCATAGATTGTCAATTATTATAAAAATTATTGTATAAATAGTCAATTAACTGTTGTTGAGTACGTCTTCTTCTACGTTATACATTCTATTTTAACAACTGCTTATGTGTGAAATAATACTGTAAAAAATATACTGTAAATGTATACTATTTTGAACTTCAACCTTTCGTTAACTGTTGATCGTGAGCCATGTATGCTCTGTTGGTAGATGTACTCTGCATTGGCTTCTCACATCCCGCAAGTATCACACAGGAGCAGCGGTAGGTATGCAAATGTTCCCTGGCTGGGAGCTGTGTTCATGTTGGTCGGGTTAGGTCAACTTGGTATTTTCTGCTTGAGAAACTTCCACACAATGTCCTAGACAAATATCGGAAATCTCTGTGACCATCATCCTCCATTTTCGCATTACATGAGGGTTTCTTACAATACAGAGGTCAATAGGTGTAGTTCCATATAAGCACGCAATCTCTGCTATAGGTATCCTATAACCTTCTTATATAATGTGTTATTTCATGTATAGACTCTGCCACTCCCATTATGGGAGGAAGGCACTGTGGTAACATGGCGATGCTGCCTGGTTTATCACAATGATTGGCAGGAGTCGCACACGCACTAACGGGCTCGATCGCCACGTCACGTGTCTTCACAATTTCACCACACCACAATAACAAATTCGTCAACGAGGATTTATATCAAACACTATAAGGTTTATTTAATGTCCATGAAGTAGTGTAGCCCAGCAATATACTTTCCAACACTTACAACGAAAATTGCCAAACACAACAAAAGAATTATCACGAAACTCCTGGTGATGTCTAAATGGTAATCAAATTTAACATCGACAGTAATAATTACAGCAAATTTCGTGCCTGTAAGCTTGGGTAACTTTCCTGAAATTCCTAGCTGTTATAACCACACGATTCAGCAAAAATGGCATAGCATTAGCCCTTACAGCTGTTCTAGCATTAGTTATACATATAAGCACGTTAGTCTAAAGCCTTTTATGTTGGTTAGAATGACATCATGTTGCAAATAAGTACACACATGCACAAACCTGTTCATAGTCGGCAGTAAGAAATAGTCCAATTTGCATAGTCAACTAATTTTAAATGCTCTTAAATTCCTATATTTTTAAAGAAAACTATTACTAGAAGATAATGTCAAATTGGTTCATTAAATATATATAGTGGACGGAATACTTCTGTAATTAACAAGAAATTTACATAAATATACATAAGTGAATCTATAGGTATACAGTTGGAAATCATCCATCCGAGCATCCTATGTATTCAATAACAAACTACATATATATATATATATATATAAATCATGAAAACTTTAAATAGTTTTGATCAGAGAAGCAAAAAATTCATCATTTACATTTTGCACGTGGGCCACAACACACATTTATGCGAGTATTTCGAATCAGCGACTTCATACCATAGGTTACAGTACCTCTCTCAATTGTCTCTGAAGCACAATAGCTTCACAAGTATATCAGGCCACAATTAAAAAAAACTTTGTTTGCCCTCACCCGACCCAGGCTGAAAAGTTTGGGTAGGTAGGTAGGCTTTTTTAAGGTCTTTTTACAAATTCGGCATGGTGTCTACATGCTCGGGTGTGGTTCTGTGGAGATACCTTTTATGTTGAATGATTGTTTTGCTTGGTACATATAATGTATTGCCTACAGATTTATATAATGCAGTGATACAATTTGTTTTTTAAAAAAAAGATCAATAAAATATTTTGAGTCGGCCCCTTTTTGGTGGGTCGGTCGGGTGAGGGTAAACAAACAATATTTATATTATGGCCTCATCGAAGACTGATTTGCAAACACTGGTAAAAATATTCAATAGAGAATTCAATTCATTACCCGAAATACGCCTCATCAGAACTTTGAAGCTAACATCATCACAAACTCACAAACCATCGACTTAGGTTCTTTCCGAACGTTCCTTGGTTGTTCTCCTCGAAAACCTAGCCCGATACACACGACTTCTGACACGATCGCCTGAAGCTAAGCTCGACACACAGCACAGCAGATTGCATCACGAACCGCAACCGACACCGCGGAACAGCAGCCGACTCGCGAGCACACGCCCGCCTGCTGGAATTTCGCCGCCGTCAGAATTTCCAGCTGTCGGAAGCCAAGCACCGTGCGGTAAATTTTTCCCGCGACGACTTGTGATGCCGAGCCAGTAGCCCACGCGGGAGGCGGTTCGATCTTGAATTCGTCGCGCGGTGCAGCACATGGGAGGTGGTTCGATCACGATCCCGATCACGTTCCTGATCATGATCCCGATCACGATCATCCTGATCACGATCACGTTCCCAATCACATTCTTGATATATTAGATAATATTTGTGTCAATAATAATAAAATCAATTTCCTGTAAATGGCGTCCAAATGCTCATCTGCAAACACACGCTGGCCGACGCACGCTAGCTGCTGCACACTGACATATAAATATAATAAAATAATAATATAAACGTTTATGTGTAGATGTAGTGTGAGCGTGTGTTATTGCGCTGTATGAGATCGAACCAACTGCGAGTGAACACGGCCACGTGTCGTGATCATAATCGCCACACATCAGCTGCACGCGTGACACTCGCTGGCGAATGCATATATATATATATATATATATATATATATATATATCAGAAGAATATTATCTACTTCTGATATATATAATATATACGCATATATAGGTTTGAGCGTTTTAATGGATGTTCACGCGTGACGCTTGCGTGCGCGTGTGTGTGTATATGCGTGCGTGCGTGCGTGCGTGTGTGTGTGTGCACCCGGGGTGCCTCTCTAACGGTTATCTCTGTAACGGGGTGCCTCTATAAACGGTTAATATATCTGCGTATATGAAGCTGTTGGTACAGTGGTGGGTTGCCTACCGATGACGAACACCGTGTATATAATAGTAATGTGACCTGTTACATACTTATCGGCACCTGGTGTCAAAATTCAAGTTGACAATTATTTAACACGACGAAGCAATTTAATTGGGCGCAGCGTAAGATTGTCCTGCTATGTGCGCACTGTGGGATGTTCAATACGACACGGCCGCTTCTGTCACGCAGTGTAGTGGCGTTCGAATCCCGTGCTATGACTAATGCCCGAAGCAATTGAGTATTTGAACCCCGTTGTCAGAAACATTGATGTTCATCGCGAGTCCAAAATGTTTGAACAACGCTTCGCGTGTAAAGGTTGTGACAGATTACGGCTTTGTGATGTCATAACTATTGATAATGTTTCCCGACAACGGACCCGCTGGAAAGTGAACGCACCGTCATTCTAACGAACTGCTCATAATTAGTGACACTTATAGTGGCTCAGAACGTGCTGTCTGCATTGCGTTCGCGTTTCAAGAGGCTGCGAGCGCGCTCACCTACTGCACGCCCGTATTGATTCCTATATAAATATATATATATAGCCCCCTGTTGTTTTACATCGATGATAGGTAACTTCAGTTCAAACTGTATATGTGTGTATGTGTGTGTGGTGTATATACTTTGACGCGTCGTGGCGTGGACTTGGCAGCGTATAATGCGTGAACGACGGGTTCTTCGTCACGTACGGAAACAGCGCGGCTGCTGCCGTTTTAGCGCCGTGTTGCTCGTATTGTTGCGAATGCGACGTCCCGAGAGATACGCGACGATCAGATTGCATTTTCTCGTCGGTTCTGCTCTGCGAATTAAAATGACATTGTAGAAATGACTCTTTCTTACGCGCACTGTCGCCATCGTAGATATTTGCTCCATATGTCCGCTAGAATTCTATTTTTCCATTAAGTTTACACGGACGTGTGCGTTACTGAACTATACGGCAGTATTTTTGCACGTGTGGTATACGGTTTAGCCTCGCTGGTTGCGGTGCGGCTGTGCACTGTTGTTGTTTACCTGTTGATTAGCCATCGCCCTGACATCGTGTCACTGTGTCCTCAGTATTTATCGCGTGTCTACCGGCGCGGCGGGGCGGGGGGGGGGTCGAGTTAATCCGCTGTTTCTGTTCGTGCGCCATGATATATGTTATTGTTGCGGAGCGATCACAGCTCAATAGTTTACCGTTGCCATGGTGTCGCGATGACGTTTCGCTGTGGTCCGGGCGTGCGCCGTTACGATTGTCTGACCCGCGCCGAGTCGCAGTGATAAGTATATAGTATTACTTTAGCCGGGATTACACTGCCGCGGCGTATCCGATTGAATAAAGTGTGACGTCACTGCAATGATTGACTGTCGCTATGACGATCACTCCACCATACCTCATTGGTTCCTTATCTTAACCCTACAGTGAGCCATCATCGTAACTAAATGCATTATGGGAAATGTTTTGCCTCCTTAAATATTTTATTTCTACAAGTTGCTAAGCATGAACTTAAAGCGCACGAGGGAAATTATTGTATTTATTTTTGAGCTCGAGCGGATTTTGTATCGGTTCTGTGTTAAGCGTATGAATTCAACATGTATTGTTCTGGGAGAAAAGTGCTCTAATATTTTGTGCCTGCCAATACATTACTTGTGGGAGTTTTGTATACCTTTTTTTTAATTTCTGTGCTTGTATATTTAACTTAAAGTCAGTGGCTGACGTGATTAGTGAGCATAGCGATTTGCGGTAACTTAAGAGTAAATCACTTTTACTTGTATACTATGTAAATTTTGTAGGTGGGGTCTGTCTGCTTTGAAATCTTGTGGTTATTTTTCTGAATGTATTAATTCTCGGCGATTTATAGGGTGAAACTTTAAATAATACTCGATTCACATACACTCACTGTTGAGATGGCCGAGCATGTGAAATCTAAAATCAGCGCCGGGATTAGCTTACTATGAACTTATTTCACTGTTTGAAGGAAGGCATGCGGAAGGTCAGTTACGGGGAGAGTAAACTAACACTAGTAGTAGTAGTACTAACTTCACTCTGCTATTTCTCTGCGACTGGGACGTATATTCGCGATACTGGTATTCCGGTATTCGTAAGATAACTGGCGAAACCAATATACTGCGATAATGATGCGTCTGTAAATGCATCCACGCGTATAGCTTTCACGCTACGCGTTTTACTTGCACGGTGGTTGGGTTAGGGGTATAGTCAGAAATGTTCACCTTCGTTTGAGCTGTCGCGTATATGCTATCGCGGTATGACGTCGGGGAACGTGAGATTCGGTTTACTGTGTAGATGTAATCTATATTTGAACACAGCTTCCCCTTCATGTTAGTACTATATGGCTAATGATCACCGTGATTCGGTTATAAGAACCACATCCGTGTGTGCGCTTGCAATTTTACCGATGATATAAATACACAGTATATATATATATGGGTGTCCCGTGACTGTACGGTGACCTCCTGTGCTGCTATCTGGCGGCAGTGACGTCGCGCCACTATGAAGATTTCTGCGTACAGCGCCACCATGATGGCCGCGGGAACGACGAAGAGCGCCACGTCCCAGACGAACATGAAGCTGTCGCTGAACACCAGCAGCAGCAGACACTCGCCCGTGCCGCCGCCACCGTTCCAGCCCGCGTACGGAAGACTGTAAGATGTATAATCCTATCGATTAAGTTATCCAGAGAGACCGGGTACAAGATGGCGTTGCGCAAAAGATGCCAGGGGTATGTTCGCTATTCAATGGCTGCTCGAATAAAAGTTGCTAAGCACAACGTGTTGATTTAATTGCGTTGATCGAATTAATACGAGCCAAACATGTTCCAGACGGCGTACGGAAGACTGTAGGCATTACAGTAGGAAATCAGTTTCATATTGGTGGTCAAGAAATTCCCGTAGATCAGAGATAAATTCCAGAGTAAATTGGAATACCACCCGCCGACGATACATGGCAAAACGCTACATTACAAATATTTTGCTAACTCGAATGTTTTTCCTTAGGTTTTTTGTAAGCGCGATTTTAGCGCAACGCGCGTAAAACGGGCAATATTTAAAACGCGTTGTTACACTGAAACATACGCTTCGCGTACCCGTCACCCCCGGCAAATGCAGCAAGAAGTATTATTAGTTAAGTTAATTAGAATAATGTACAGTCACCTTCATTAGAGAGATAAAAAGAACATGGTGTTTGTACACATCCGAAAAAAATCTCAGTATTTCACCGCACCCAGCGCCGAGTGGCTGATGTGGAAGTGCAATACCTGTAGATCACGGCGCAGACGATCCAAGCCGCCGCCAGGAGTCGCCTCGCTACGGCTGCGTTCATCAGCGCCGGATATCGCAGCGGATGCACGATCAGCAGGTACTGGTTGGCCGTCACGAGCAGCATGCTCAGGCTGGACATGCGCAGCGAGAACTCGACGAGCACGAACACGGTGAGGCAGGCGTAGTAAGACAGCGCCTCGGCGACGAATATGCTCACGAAGTTGTACGCCATCGTCACGCCCGTGATCAGATCGATCGCCGCCAGGTTACCGATGAACAGGAAGCGGATGTCGCGAAAGGCGCTGTTCGTTGCTATGGCGACGAGCACGACGCCGTTAGATAGGATGATGAGCGTCGTGACGACGCCCGTGAAGACGATCTCGACGATGCGAGCTTCGTACGGATGCTGAACGCTGACATGGCCGTCACCGGTCACGTTCAGCCAGGTCTGGTTCACATCGTAGCCGCCGTCCGTTGTGTTGGCATCGTCCATGCTGAAACCCGCCGCCGAAGCTTATATTTCGCTTTCGCCAGACGGTCACCATTAACCAGACGCTTTCCTGAGCTTCTCCAGGGAAACCGTCAAGGAGAAACACATATTCCCTCTATTCGATATTCATTTTTGTCTATGCGTCTGAATCTCTTGCTTGCCCTGAAAAGTATAAAGGAATGATTGAGTGGTGAACTCGGTGTGCCTCGTTTCGCTCCCGTATATATATACAAATTACTCGACAAAAAGACGAGGTTTTTTTGCCTTTACGATCGGCAAATTGCGGTCTTTGCCGTCGCAATAACGTTAAATATTATTTATTGAACGTTTCAGTATAAATTACACACGGCATTGTCGTCGTACGGTGCTTCTGCGTGCCTGAATATCAACTCACCGACTTTGCCAACTCATCCGTCGTAACTACGAGCTGTACTTCTCACAATTTTTCAGTTTCTTAATTTGCACCTTCTCTAGTCTGCTTCCTGAATTTCTCGACGAGGTACGTCTGTACGCGCTGTACGAAACACGGCCATGCCATCGATGAGTTGGAGAACTACCGTGCGCGCCTCACTCAATACCAACACCATCGGCATAATCATCGTCGTCGTCGTCGTTGTTGCTAACACACAACAACCACAACGACGACGACGGCGACAAAGACCATGATGATGATGATGATGATGATGATGATGATGACGATGACGATGACGATGATGGACTGAGAAAGCAAGCAAACTGTGCACACAGGTGTTTAGGTCGCTGTTATCTTCGGTAAACTCACATGTCTGTATCTGAACTGTGTCAGATGAGTGCTGTTATTCGGCTATCGGGAAAATCGACGCGTTGCGTTCTTTCAGAGATGTTAACTTTAAAAACGTTGCGATAGAATTTTTACTTTTATTCTTGTCGGTTCTCTATGTCTTAATGTTGCTACTGAGTAGTATTTCGCTTCTGTGTTATCCCGATGTGCTATAAGGTTCTTCATGTTATTCTCATAATTATTAATAAATAATTATAGAAGTGTTGACAAACGTATGGCGTTTCGTGTTCGTGGCGTTCGTGGGGTTCGGGCGATCGGCGAATCCACGCCCTAGACTAACTAGTATATTACTTATATGCTTTCCGTGCAGTGGAGCGTCTACATACTCCAATACATCGCGTTTTGAGATCCGTAGGGTGTAAGTTACAGAATGGACTACGCCAGCAGGCATTTATTGTCAGGTTGAGGCGCCGTTACCAGCAGTACAGCTCAAAACCATTTTCCATTGGGGACTAATTCCATTCTAAGCTAAAAAAAGAAAAGAATAGTCAGTCGGAACTACTTCGGATAATTTATTATAGATATCATAGGCTGGAATACGCGTGACACAACAATTACTTAAACAAACTTCTAAATACTTTACTAAATACGTAAGATGGCTTTATGCATACGCAATGTCTACGGATTAAAAATCCAAACTTTGCTCGAAAATTTTGCAAGCAACGTGATGTACATTTCTCATAAATTCACGCTGGTCACACGTAAACACAGTGGCTACATCGCTTGGCAGAATTACACGGTATTTCCACAAAACCAAATTCACTTTTCATGTTTTCTATACTTCTATGAGGCATCTAGCCGACGTGTACAATGCGGATTACTACACTCTAATGCCGAATATTACCGCACAATAATGGAGAAACTGCTTTCTTACAGGGGCAGTGTACAATTATAGTAGTGAACAATAGGCGGAAGGCTACTGCTGCGTGCCACCTTCGACGAATAAATTGTACCGTAGGAGTTAACATGATCTGACGCTATTCAAAATATTGCGTTTAATCGGGCTATGACGACGCTATTCCTAGAATAACGTCAGATCATAAGGAAAAAAAATTAGGTCACACTTTTTTTTGGTCTATAAGCCTCGCGTCTAGGAATCGGTAGCGTCCATGCTGAACACTTGCGTGTCGCTGTCCGGTTTGCAGCGGTCTGTACCGCAGCAGAGCACCCGCCTGTACGCCCTGCGGAACTTGGCGCTACGCAGTGCGTAGATGAAGGGGTTGCAGAAGCTGTTACAGGTGGCAATAGTTGCCGGCACGAGAACATCGTACCTGCAGAGAGCAGGGGGCCGTTTTCAGAAACATCGTGAGGTTAAAACCCGGCGCACACGTCAGCAATTTAACTCAGTAAAATTTGAGTAAAATTATGCATGCGTCAAAATACTCAACGTGTGCGCGCTAGCTGTGTAAATTTACTCAACACTGGTACTCACAGCGCATGCGTTTAAATTATTTTAAAGATGGCTGCGCCCAGTATTGGCTGCGCACAGTCACGTGATCTACATTACCACTTATACATTGAGTAATTTTACTCACGTGTGCGGCGGACGCTGAAAATATTTCGCGTGAGTATTTTGACGCATGCATCATTTTACTTGAGTAAAATTACTCACGTGTGCGCCGGGCTTAAGACCAATGTTAAGACTAATTTTGTTTTTGACAACATTATTCAAGATATGCAGATGCTAGATCAATATTCTGCGTCGATACTCACGCCGTTCCGATACATGAGTTCATCCTCAAATATGATCGGCGCATACTAACTAAAGAACACAACATGTGCGGCGACGCCCACAAAAACAACTTTATGTTGCAGTTTTGATGCTCGCAATGCAGGCGTCATATGGAAAGATCTTAGTTTAAAGCTAAAGCTAGCTGAATTTATTTAGGTGTAAAATGTGTGAGGTGGTATAATATCCGGACGGATCCTGATATGTCAAGTTTATATACACATGTAAATATACATTACCTGTGATCGCCTGCATATATAAAGTTGAGGAATCGTATGATTATCATCGGTGCCCAGCTCAGCACGTAAACGATGACAACGATAGCGAGAGTGACAGCTGTCTTCAGTTCTCGGTAGCGTTTCTTATTGGCCCGTGCGTCCTGAAATTACATCGTGTTTAGATGAAGAATAATTGAAAGTAAAATAATTACTTAATGTTAAATTAATTATAAATGAATATGTAGAATGAAGTAGGTAGTATGATATCTTATTTTAATAAAATAGGAAATGAATTACACTTATTCAAAGTTGTGCTGCTTACAAACATGCCTGCAGGCCCTCGCAGGAAAACAGGCTGTTCTCTTTAACGTTTACACCCCACATTTCATTACTGCGAGGGCTGTTCTCTTTAACGTTTACACCCTACATTTCATTACTGCGAGGGCTGTTCCCTTTTACGTTTACATTCCCACATTGCATTACTTCGACAGTTGTCTCTTTAACATATACGCCCTGGCTTGCCATTTCTGCGAAGGGCTTTCCCATTTAACTTTGACATCCCTGCGTCAGCGTTAATCACGTGTGTGTCACGTGCCTGATGACTAATCAGGATGCGACAGGTGCGGCGTGACATAATCTAACGGGTAGTGCGAAACATTGAACTCTGAGCTATTTATTTATGAACATAAAAGAAGGTGGGACGGACACAGAGTCGGACCACACGGAGGTGTTGTGTGAGGAGGAGATACGGCCAGAGGTAGTTAGCTGTATAGCTGAGCAGCGCTGCGACGTATTAATTAAGCGGTTTATTGTTAATTACGTGTACATACTGTAATAAGAAGCAGCCGATGAGTAGATGTGCTCTAGCGTCGCCCGGGCTGCCTGGCCTAAACAAGGTAATAGCCGACGGACCTATATATATATGTTTTTTCATGCATGATCAGTCTAGGTTAGCCGGGCATCGTAGTGATGGGAATGCTCTGCACACGCCCGCCCGCGCGGTAGTGCGGTTAAGTGGACCTAGCGCGCCATCTGGCGGAAGAATCAAGTCCGCTTCATATAGTGCAGTAAAACACTCACAACTGAATCTATATATAAACGATTATATATTTATTATTATTATATTAATTCTCTATATTTAAAGGAACAGTAGCCTCTAGGTTCTAGGGTTATTTTCAGCTAATTTAGGTTATAATTGCGCTACATAAAAAGTTTCATGGTTCAATCACCATTAGAAATATTTTTTTTTAATGTTTTAAAACATAATAATAATTTCTATATATAATCATCACCAATAACATCAACAACAATGAAACGCTTCTATTATTTCTAACTCACAGTCGCACACGTAGGCCTATAGCCGACGAACCGCTCCCCACAACCTTTATCGCAGCACACTCAGACGCCCACCAAAGTAAATTGGCGCCGTTAGCCTCCCTGCGCCCGCATGACCAGGCTTCTGTCACGTGCGTGTTTAGTTGTCGATACATCAATGAGATGCCTGCATCAATCCACGCGTACTTCAGTCACTGTCTACTGCTGATTTACTCAATCACAGCAGGTGGGCGTGCGGCGGAGGACGGCACGCGCATGCGCGGCTAGCATCTACACGCTCTGCTGTCGCCCCGCGCCTCTCGACCTAACTTTGTCGCTTCACGATTTAAATTATGAGGAGGAGGAGGAGGAGGAGGAGGAGGACGACGACGACGACGACGACGACGATGACGATGATGATGAGCAGTAGCAACAACAACAACAACAACAACAACAACAACGAGGACGATGACGACGACGGCTCGTCGACTAACAGAATTGAAATAGATACAGACATTTAGCACTAATGGCAAGACATGGGGGACAGCGATTTTTCCGCATTTATATGTTTTTTCCATTTCCCTAATCTGATTATATGAGTGCGGCCCAATCTACCTTCCGGCTACTGACCTTGCGACGCTAAGCGTGACAGGTAATAAATTAACAATTCCCAGAATTGAAGATGAGAGCACGCATGCATGCTTACACGCACGCACGCACGCACACATAGGCCTACAAGCATACCTGCAGACATGCACGCGCGTACACGCACGCAAGAATGTCGATGCGCACTGCCAAAAAATAGCATTATATACGCCTAAGCAAAGGAGCTAGGTGGCGTTCCTCGTGTATAATTCTCGGGGTTTCGTTTACGGTCAGGCATTGTACGCAGAGTTAAATATTTTTGCCGCATTTAACCATGGGAAAAATAATTTTCAATACGATCGCCAACCATAGACGCTGCTACTCTTGGAATGCTCTCGCACGTCGTAACTTTCTCTTTCTTAAATAGACGTGCGTTACGTTTGCGTAACGTTACGTAGCGTTACGTTACGTTGCGCTACGTTACGTTTCCCATCAAAATATCGCGAGGGAAAATCCGCCCCGTGAGGAGGCGCTCTCGTCGTGACGTTTCACCGCAGCTATTGACTCACTCGGCATACGACAACACAACGGTCGTATCGCCTAATTGAATAATATCTACACGTGTCGGCAGGTAGCGTTGCTGCTGTTATTTATATGAGCATTGGCTTTGTTTGGCGAGGCTATTTTATTGCGTATTGCCAACAATAAACGCGATGAAATCTGCAGTATGGTGGCACAAATGGCCATTAAATTATTCACTAATGTATGAGGGCATACTTACCACCAATTGTATTTTTTCTCTGATAGACCGGGATATGGTAGCTGGGAATATGATAACCAACCGGGCCACCGTATTTCAGTGCTCACACTCGTAAATAAGCTGAGCAATTATCTATGGAGGGGCGATACTTTTCAGAAAATAGTTCGAACCAGGCCAACTATCTGCCAGAAATCTATTCACTAGAAGAGACGGAGGTAGCATGCAGAGATGATAACAATTTAAGAGGAGGCAGAAGGAATGCGTGGCGGAGATGGAGGATAATTAGGATATAAATGGAGGCGACAGTAGGATGCGGAGAGGTAAACACAAAGAGTAAGGGGAATTTTTACATTTTCTTATAGGCTTTCTAAGCGTGCAGGCACACTTTCTGGCAAAATTCATTATATATATTTATTAATTTACGAACAGGTCATTAATTTGTTTTTAATTTATTATAATATATTATTATTATATTTTTTATATAAAACACTAGTTACACAACTCACCTCGCGAGATTTCTACTAACATCAATGCTGTAGAAAGCATGTTTTAGAGCAATGGAAGGTCTCGTGTGGTATAATAATCTGTTACGATACTAACTATTTCAGTAAATTTAGAATGATAACTCAATTTGTTATGCATATGTATAAACAGGGAGTAAAATTACGGCATAAATATAATCCTCCGGGTACACTTTAACGTGAAGCACGCGCAATTATCGATAGCAAAAAACTGCATGTAGTTTAATCAACGTTTATGCAAACCACGAACATAAATTATCACGGCACTAGACTCGTCTCTCCTGTCGCTCCTCTCTGTCGTACGGTTCTCCCGGTGGTCGTATTTCTTCGGAAACTATCACGCTGTTGTAGACGCCACTAACCAGCGTTAGCGGCACGTAGCCTGTCCGCGTCAGCACGAACGGCACGAGAACCGGTGTCGACCCGCTTCCACGCGGCGTCACGTCCCGGTCAGAAAACGCCGTCGGGAACGCACCGCGTAAACAATATGGCGGCCGCTTGTGGGGACATAGGCTGTGGGATTGTGGTAGAGAGTTCGTGGCGGTGGCTAAATTCGCAGCGTCCTTGTCTGACGAGTGCAAACTCGAAATTCGCGTCAGATCTTGTGGCGATGGCACGGCGGTGGTACTGAGATGGTGGAGCTCATGCGAGTGATCGCTTGTCGCGGTCGGAATGCCGTGCATCGAACCATTGTGTTCTGCAGCTACGCGCGCTCTTTTCCTGAATTATAATTACAATTTAAATTTTATTATCATTTTTCTTAGAAGATCTGGATTAACTATAAATATATATTTATTAAGATATATTTATTATATTTATTGTAAGTAAAAAATAATCTTGTTAATGAAGTCTAAATATCATCAATGTCGCAGTCGAGCAAAGTCGTATAATCTGAATGAAAATATCATCGACGTTGTCACGTGAGAAACTACGATCGATATTTCCGTAGTTCAAGAAAGAATCAAAATCTGTGTGTGCGTTAGACCGAATAATTCTGTCCCATATAATCTTTTTTATATTTTGGTGAGGGTTATATTGGATAAATAAAATATATAAATATAACCCTCACCAAAATATAAAAAAGGTTATATGGGACAGAATTATTCGGTATATGTGTGCGTATGCGCGCTAACTATTGCGTGTGCGTGTATGGTTGGCTATTGTACTCAGAAATAATTACTTTTACCGCGGTAGAAATAACTCAACCGTGGTTCAATTATTGCCCTTTTACCCAATCAGAGGTCTTGCTACACATAATTTAACAGCGTTTTAAATATATATGCGGTTGATTTATTTCTACCACGGTAAAACTAACTATTTCTGAGTACGACGGCCAACCATATGCGTGTGCATGCGCGCGTATGTGTGTGGGTCTGCGTGTACGTGCGTGTGTGTGTGTACGTGTGTGTGTGTGTGTGTGTGTGTGTGTGTGTGTGACTGTGTGTGTCGTGTGATGTGTGTGTGTGTGTGTGTGTGTGCGTGCGTGCGTGCGTGCGTGCATGTGTGTGTGTGTGTGTGTGTGTGTGTGTGTGTGTGTGTGTGCGTGTGCGCGTGTGTGTGTGATGGAGAGTCAACGAAAGATGTGTGTCAGCTAGACGGAGCTAGCCGCGAATACCTTGATCGCCTAATGACGTTTCCTATGCGTTCGTGATGATTCCTCGTAAAATGTGGATGCTGGAACTTTAACACGTCAACGTGCCCGACGCTGATTTCTTCCGCCATCTTTTTAAAGCCGTACAAGTACATCTTTCGTACGAAGGTAATCAGTTTTCCGCTGCCGACGAGTTCGGCAGGGAAGTCCTTCGTGGACATCTTTTCGAAAGCATCGACGTCTATGACGACGTAACGGCCAGAGCTGCTCCAGCGAAGACATCGTTCTCTAGAGCCGTCCTTCTTGTACGACAGCATTGTCCACAGCTTCTCCGGGAACGTGGCCATCTTTGCCGCAGCGCGTTTCGCTACTTCTATGTCGATGACCAGAGGAGATGCAGAGGAGTCGTCATCGGTCGATATTCTGTCGTCTTCAATGGTCGTCGACTGTCGCATTTCATCATCAGAAAGTTCGGTTTTCATATCTGCTGAGCGAGATTCGTTAGATTCCATCTCATCTGTGCGCTAAATCTAACAAAAGAAATATCAATGGTTATCGTGTAAACAACGCGTTTATTAATATTTCGTGTTCGTGTGTAATATTTAACGCGTTGAACTAACCGTTTGGTACCGCCGGTTCCTGGATAGGATTATTGCACATGAGCGTACGTGTTTCTATGTTTACGGCCCAACAAACGGTTTCCATAGGCAAAGGATATAACGTAGTCGTTATGGAGACGTTCGCAGTTAGTGACGCATGGATTGTTCAGTTTGTTTCGTCACTATGGAAAACAAACAATGCAAGTGACGTCAACCATTCATGCTCTACGATAGTAACGGCAACAGTGTAGATCGATTGATACATTAGAACGTTTCAAAAGGTCAGGCTAAACCGTACAGATGTTAGTTGTATTCATAGATATATACAAATACAGTGTTTGTACATATGATATCCATGCTGTATTATAGAGCATAACCAGCTATTATTATCGTGCAATGAGGATACTGCGTACCCGTGCGAGAGGATAGACGTGGCGGGAACAGAGACAGCCAACTGATGAAGCACTTGGAATTTCAAGTTGAACGCTCTAAAATTCGAGTCATGCCTCGGCCACTGTTGACAGTGTTGTTTCCATTGTTGTTGCTGATGTTTACCGGTCGCGCTGATGTATCAGAACCATTTAAAATCGTGATGTTATCACGACCGCCTAATGTGCAGGTCACCACAATGCTCCCACAAATGTTTGGCAATTAAAGCAAATTGTTAGTCGTCTAGGCTCAATATAAACCAGACAGAAGTGATCTGACTTTGTCACAACCTGTCAACACACTCGTCTACGGTCTATACCATCAGTCAACCCGCCGGCTCAACTCAACCAAATGAAATAGCCCCCCCCCCCTTCGCGTAAGCTGTTGTGTAACTTGTTAAGGGCGGCTACTTGTTGCAACATACCAATAGTGGGGTATGTGGCTTCATAATTACATAGTATAAGCTATGTATATATGAGTATATACTATATGAGTATATATATAAGCTATGTATAGTATAATTATATGTAGTATAATTATACTAACCTATGTAATTACTATTGTCCACGATTTTTTTCCTCGGCATATGTGTATCGATGAAAACACTTGTGTAACGACTGTGCTCTGCAACACTACTCACACAATCTAATGCTTTTCTGCATACTAAATATAGTATCTTGAAAACCTCATTTAACCATATTTCCTATGGCCTATTAATTTATAACGTTTAATATATAGTTTAAAAATTCTACATTATTATAAATTTATAATTAAATTGTTATAAATTAATAGGTCATAATTTACCTATTAATT